GCTCTTTTCCAGCATTGCATGTGTCTGTCCATAGGCTTCTTCAAAGATGCTCACTGCTTTTTCAGTGGTGTCTTCATTCTCATGGCTTCCATCCCGCTAAGGAGCCCCTCCCTCTACCCTCTCTAATGTGAAATGCTTCCTTGGTTGCCATGGTGTCTCGGCTCTGAGCATGCTGCTTGTGTCTTAGGCTTTCACCATTCACTCATGAAGTTTATGTGTTTGAGAGATTGCATGCCCCCCAACCCTTAAAAAAATCCTTTTACGTTACCTCTTTTAGGTGTGCTGAGGTCACCGAGGTGGGGAAATTTTATCTCAATTTCTTAGATTTTAGATTCTTGTGCCGTGGGAGTGGGGACCAGATGAACTGCACTGGCTCAAGTTTCTGGCATTTCATTAAGGATGATAGTGGCCAGTGATCAACACCCTTGCTCTCCTGAGACACCTTTCCTTGAAGCATAACTAACCTGGCCATTAGCCCAATGGCAGACAGAGAAGAATGAGGCACCTTTTGTCTACGTTGTGCTAGGAACTGACGTAATTTCTGAAGGTGCTGGGATGCCAGGGCAGGAAAGAGTTTTTCAGACTAGGACACATCAGTTCTTCACAGCCCCGTATCTCTTCCCTGTCCCAGTGAATAGAGACACTCAGCACCCCTTCCCCAACAAGGAAATGTGTTTCCTTACCATGGGAGCACCTTGCCCACAGTCCTAGAGATTTAGATAGAGTAGGTGTAAAACCCCAGGTCTCTTGGTGGCACTTTAAAAAAAGCTCTACTATTATTTAATTATACCTTAGAAGCTTGCTTGTTTTCTGAGAGACAGAAAGGTTGGATCCAGATGGAGGTGAAGTGGGCAGGAACTTGGAGAGTAGAGGAGGGGAAGTGTAATTAGGCATACCTAGTTGTCCAAATGTAGACTTAATATAATTCTTTTTCCCTTTCCTGAAAATGATTTTTCTCAGATAATTGTATCCTGACAGACCCATGCAGGCCCTGTGCTTGCTGCCTCCGTCTCTGTGAGTTCACATGTGAGCTGATCTTGTTGATTTAGAAGGTCTGGTTTTCTTGGTCCTCCATTCCTTCTGGTTCTTACACTCTTTTCTGCTTCCCCTTCTGAAGGGTTCCCTGAGCCCTGAGGGGAGGGATTTGATGGGGATGTCCCATCGAGGGCTGAGTGTTCCACGTTCTCTCACTCTCTTCATATCTGGCTGTGTGTCTCTGTGTTTGTTCCCATATACTGTAGGAGGAAGCTTCTCTGATGATGATGGCTGAGCAAGACACTGATCCGTGAGTCTAGTAAAATGTCATTAGGAGTCATTTTTATTGCTCCTTATCATCATTATTAATTATTATTATCAGAGAACAGTTGTATTTCACTTTACCCTAGGTCCCTGGGCTTATCTAGTCTCAGATTCTTGATTATCCAAGCAGTGTTGGGTATGGGTTCCGTTTGAACAAGTGGACCTTAAGTCAAACCATATATTTGTTGGTTACTCCCACAGGCTTTGTGCCGGCATTACCTTAGCATATCTTGCAGGCCAGATGTCATTATAGGTCAGAGGTTTTGTGGCTGGGTTGGTGTTTATGCTTTTCCTTTGGTAGTCTGCAGAGTACCTACCTTCCTGTACTGAAGATGCTAGAATGTAGGAATAAAGGGTCTGTGTAGTTCAACTTCCCCATGTTCAGTGAGTTGTGGGTATGTTGTCTTCAGCAATGGGGCCTTGCTGTCAGTTTGTGGAGAGCAACCTATAGTCTTGACAGCAGTCTAGGTTGTTTGGGGGTTCTTATGGGACCCCTTTGTCAAACAGTTTCAGTGGCTCTTTTTGCCCAGACAAGGATTCAGTTACTTGGGGACTAAGTCCTGGTCCTATGCACTACTGAACACAGGCCCTGGCTCTTTGCTCTCTCTGTAGACTGTGATAAGGAACAGAAATGAGGTGGAGGCCGTCTAGGTATAACAAAATGCAAGTCTGCCATTGGCCCCTGATACATGCCTCTGAGTTATCTGCATAGTGGCGCTTGGAGAAAGCATTTTGAAGTCTTGATTTGTCTTTTTGTCTTTGTTGTTTCTAGTAGTTTTCACTTAAAGGCAAGGACACACTTTTAAAGTGACCTTTGAAACCCTACAATGCTTATGCCACAAAGGGACACATGAAAGGAACAATAGCACATTCTCCACGTGTGAGCACATTCGGGGTCTGCTTTGGTGAGGAGATCTATGAGACATGGGCACAAAGCTCCTCGTACAGCTGATGGATAGCCTTGGGTGGAAGTCCCATGACTGGGGAGAGGCCCTGCTGTTCCCCGCTCAGTGGACATCCGTCCCCACCCTTGCATGACCAGGAACATTTGAGACTCTGTCCCCACCATTCCTAGGATGCCATAGAAGTTCCTGGCAGGGACATCATGTGCAAATGAAAGGAATGAACTGAATGAAGTGTCTGAAGCCAGTGGTCTAGGTTTGAGTCCTGGTGTTGGCAGTTCTAAATTGTACGGCCTTGTGTAAGTCACCTGGTTTCCGTGAGGGTTATTGCATCATTAGCTTCCTCTGTGGAGCACTGACTTGTGCTGAACATCCAAGACTCAGTGAGACAAGAGAACTCTGCAGTTCCGTTTCCCTCCTTGACACTATACTGAGCCCCCTACTCCACGTTAAACAACATGAATTTAATGCCTGCTAGTTGTGAAGGCTGAAGTCCAAAATCGGTTTCACTGGGCTAATGCCAAAGAGTTGGAATGAAGGCTTTGAGGGAAAGCCTATGTTCCTACGTTTATTGTATTCCTTTGTTTGTGGCTTACTCTCCCGTCTGCAGAGCGTGTCAACCCAGTTTCAGCTTTGGTCATCTCATCTCTTCTGGGCTAGGACTCCTTTGCTTGGACTACACTGTTTCTACATGGAGACCCAGGGTCAATCTCCACCTCAGGTCCTTTGCATTCCCATTTTCACTGTAGTATAATGGCTGCAGGTTCTGGGAATTAGAATGAGGACTCTTTGTGGCTAGCCTGTCACACCATCTTGCACTTTTTTTTTTTTGACCTGGGAGACAGGCCTGATAGACAGCCCTTCATTGGTGCTGGGAGGTGAATGTATGAATGATTAAAGGCGGGCTTTGGGTGGGGGAACTGCAGTTGGGCTTTAGGGCGTTAGGAATCTGTCAGAGGGTGTTTGTGTAAAGGACATAGCGTATGAGAAGGCACGATGGCTTGTCCTGAGACACTCAGCACACAGCAAGGAAGGTGGAGTGTGACGGCTCATGAGGGCCTCTGGGCAGAAGGCGGCAGGTCGTGTAGAGCCTCGCAGAGCACTTTTAAGAGGCCTGATTCTTATATTAGAAGGAGGCTGTGCGAGATGGCTACTGCCATTAACTTTGGAGTTGTGGCTTGAGTTAAATTCCTGTGCTGCCACTTATTTGATGTAAACCACGGAAAACTGCTGAACCTCTCTCGAGACTCAGGGAAATAGCTACTTCAAAGGGCACTTTTGAGAGAGAGACAACCTTTGAGGTTTTCAAAGTGCATATTCTGGTGCCTGGGATAGTCCAAAGAGCCAGGAGGAATTTGTTGCTAATGCTGTGGTTACTTTGGTAACTACGGAGTGGCTGTAGGTCATGGTCACGAGGGTTAGCAGGGACCTTTAAGTAACTGTGTAGCTGGTGCAGTAACATGTCAGACTGGCCTCTGCACACGTGTCATGGGAAGATGCAGGGACTGTGGACAAGCCACTCTGGGTGTCAGGATGGCACTAAGAGGCTGCTGAGATACCGTGGGAGGGGAAGAAGCAGAACCAAGTGGGTTAAGAAGGCCCCGGTGGCCTTGGAGTGCTTGGGAGATGCCCTTGCTGTCCCTATCTGAAGTGCTTCACCAGGACTATAGAAGCCATCTTGGGTCAATGCCCGGGCCTCATGTTCCTCGCCTGTTCCTGGGTGCCCTATCCCTTCCCCCACACTGCCAGGTCCTCAGCACCTGCCATGGAGTAGATGAGCTGAGAGGGTCTGTGGGAGGAGGCTTTTGATGGCGCTGCAGCTTAGTTTTGCCTTGTGGTATTGGTGGGATGCTCTGCATGCATGGAGCCCTCTTCCAAGTTTCCGGAGCCTTCTTTCACAATGCCCCTCACAAACACCTGCCAAGTCATGGTGGCACAGGACTCGGAGATTCTTTGGGTTTGAGTGAATGGGATGGGCACAGTGTGGAGCAGGCTGCTTGGGAAGGGCTGTGAGGGAGCTCTGAGTTCGGGAGCCACAGAGAAACTGGGAGTCCCACACAGCGCAGGCACAGGGTCTGAGAACTGTATGTCCTCCACAATCTGCACTCACACCCTTCATACATCTGCAGGAGGAAGCCAGTTCAATGGGGGGCACCGTGGAGAGACTATGATTGTTACTGCAGTCATATCTTAGGCTGCAAAGACGGTGGAGGAAAATATATTTCAATGCCATGTTCAAAAGAACTGTCATTTTCGACATAGTAAATGAGCATTTGGAGAATGATGTAAGGGTGTTACTCTCAATGTGTCCCATTTCCTTCAGTTCAGATTGATGCATGATGGAGAGAAAAACAAATCTAAGCGGGGCTACTAATGGGTGGGGCTCTGAATGTGTGTGTATACACACACACACACACACACACACACACACACACACACACACACGAATAACAAATAAGAGCCATAGGGTCAGTTTCCTCTACATACATTGGTACATCTCAGAAGTCTTTTTTAAATGGCTAAACATGGTTTTACAAGAAAGCTGGGAGAGAAGAAACCAATTAACAAACCCGACTTTGAATCCATGAGTGATGAGGCAGACTCGGTGATATGAGACTTGCCCCTTTCCGCCCCCAGTGTATCACAGGGACATCAGTGAGCTTCGCGGGCATGCGGCCTGCTCTAGACACTCTCTGGGTATCAGGGCCGGGTAGTCCTGGAGGTCATCTGTACTGCTTATGTTCCTCTGGCATTCTCCTCTTCCACACTGACACTTTTTCTCTCTTTCTTTTTTTCCAGGAGAAATCAGTTGGTGTCTGACAAGGCTGGCAATAAGCCAGATGCCCTGTGGCTAGGTAGGTGAGGCTCATCCCTCTGCTGTGCTAGGTAGTGGCAGGACCCCTTCCAGGCTTGATGGGGGCTCCTCACCACCCACCTCAGGACCATGGTGCTCTGTTCCTTCGCTGCCTCCATCTACTGCCTGCCTTTCTCCTCTGGACAGTTAGTTCTTACAGAGGGATTGCTTATCAAGGTGGATGTAGTCACACATGCTTGCAACCCCAGCACTCACGAGTCTGAGGCAGGAGGATCTCAAGTTGGAGGCCAGCCTGGGCCATATGGCAAGACCTTGTCTCCAAAACCAAGTCAACCTTCCCACCAGACAGAGAACAGATTTTTTTTTTACCCAAACCAAACCAGACCAGCCAACAGCAACTAGATGCAGGCACAGGAGCTCTTTAGGACCATTTAGAATGTTTCTGGGAGACTCTGCCTGGGGTGGCATGTCCATTTAAGAGGTTTGTAAGCTTGGTTGGGGTATAAAACGCATAGAGAAGGGAGAGAGGGGTTCCACTCCCGCACTCAGCCCCGTGCATTTCACATAGCGGCTCCATCTGTGTCACTACACTCAGATGAAAACAGAGCATTTATTTCCACGTTAGCTTTGAAGCAGTTTCTTTCTGTCTGTAACCCTTGAAGACAGAGTCTGGTAGAAACTCTTGAGTGGAGGACGGCAGGGCAAGGTTGGAATGAGAGGGTGAGCTTGAGTGCTCTTGAATCGGCTCTCTTCCTGGAGGCCAGCCCCTTTACCTGCTGGCACACAGAAACTATTCACTCACTTTGCCTCTTTCTCCCTTTTAGACATTCCTTTTTAAGCTGTAGCAGGAGAGGTGTACTCTTCGAAGCTCCTGGGTTGGATGTGGAGCCGTCAGTGAGCTTTGGTCTATCTCAAAGTACAGGCTGGGGCTCTGATCATGGAGGCAGGCTTGTTGATGCTGCTAACACACTTCAGAGGTCCCAGGGCCTCAGAAATCACCAGGATCTGCTGGTGGGGGCGACGTGGCCCTGCCCAGGAAGGGCAGGCTTTGCCCGTGGCTGTGCAGAGGAAAGGATGGAGTCGCGAAGGCTGGCATTCAAAGCCTCTGGGTTGTGCAACTCTTGAAGCTTTTCAGATGAAAGTGACTCGTGGTCAGACACAAAGCAACACAGTTCCCGGCCTTCAGAACCCCTCTCGGAAGGGAGGCCTTTTGTCAGTTCCCAGAAGCCATTTGAAGTGCTTTCTGGAAGGAGGGGACCCTCTGGTGCTGGTGATTCAGACAAGGGAAAGGAAGAGAAGGACGAGAACAGAGTTAGGGAATAGAAATGCAGAGAGGGTCGAGGGGCAAGGGGCAGGGGTGCAGGAAAGAGGCGTCGCTTTCTGGGGCAGGGTCTGTGTTCCCTCTGTTTCCCTTTAGTCTGGTTTAGGAGCCTTTGTTTGCAGCCCCCTGCAGGTTTAGCTGAGGCCTCGCTGAAGGCAGGCTGCTGATTGGAGGATATCTTGTATTCTTGGGGGACAGAACAGTTTGGCCCCAAAGAGAGATGTGTCCTCCCATAGAAACACGTGATATTCGAGAGATACAGGAGACATATTCTGTCATGGGCCCTGGAGGGTTCGTAACAGAGTGACATTCGGGCTTTGAAGGAAGAGTGACATTCAGGCTTTGAAGGATGGGCCAGGTCTTGCCCAAGGGAGCTGCGGAAGGAACTGCGCCAGTAGAGGCAATGATGAACGTGAAAAGGCTGTGGAGAGGAGCAGGGTGAGAGAGGGTGTCAGGACGGGGCTGAAGCAGGTTGGCAGAGAGGTTCGAGTGCTTGCTAAGGTTTGAACCAAATCACTGGGTGCCAGGAGCTGCGGCTATGCATCGGGCTGTGTAGACGTGGCACAGGATGGATTTCAGTGTAGGAACCCCCGGAGCTCCTGAGAGTCACGGCAGAGTGATGAGCGTCTTCTGTCCCTAGTCAGCCCTCAAGAGCACTTCGGGGCCTCACATGCCACCTTAACAGGCTGCTTCTCTGACCTCTCATGGCAGAGTTCATTGTCTTATTCTCTGCTTCTGAACCTTTGCCCAGGTTCCTACTCCAGAACTGTTGTGTTTGGGGCACTATGTCTCTTTCTCTGGGCTGGGATCTCTCTTGGAGAACACAATGGTACCTTTATCAATTCTGGGTCTTTCTGTCCCATGCTGGTCTCCAGTATATTAACTATGGGTGTTGATAGAGTACAGCCCTGCAATTCCAGCTTCTTAGAAGTCTAAGGAAAGAGGATTATCATGAGTTCAAGGCCAACCTGGATTACAAAGTGAGTTCAAAATAAAAAGCGAAAAAGAAAGCAGGGAAGGCTGGGGAGAGGGTTGGTACCAGATCACTTGCATATACACAAGGCCCTGGGTCCAATGCTCAGTTCTGCAAACAAACAACAAACAGGTTCAATGCTCAGTTCTGCAAACAAACATGTGCTTTCCATTAAATAGAAAGCACTCTCTCTGGGACAGTAGAGACACAAGGGGTAGACACGAGGTATTGAGAGATGGAAAACCCAGAGTCTGGAGCCACAGTGGGTGGAGAGAACCGAGGTTCCATCTTGAGACTCTAGAGGAGAGGGGAGGAGATCCTTATCAAGTCTTGGAGGACTGTCAAGTGATGGGGAGCTCCCAGCGGATACCCTGGGACCAGTAGTAAGTACCAGCTCACCGGTAGAGATGCCTTATTTGAGTAGTTCATACAGAAGAGAGCCTGATGGCCATCTCCCTGTGGGACCAGCTTCAGCACCATGCTCCTGCTCTCTTGGCCTCCCACCCAAAGGGAAATGTGATTCTTTTTCTCTCTCTCCACTGTATACCCCTCCACCCCAATTTTCCCCTCCAAAGCATATATGGAATGGGAAAACAAACCCCTAGCTCCTGTTCAACCAGACATTCATCTGACAGCCTTAAAAATAGCATTCTCAAACCACTGGCATTTGCAGTTTGGTGTCTTGGCCAGCATGTCATTCCTTAGCACTTTGTTTTTCCCTTGCATGGCGGTCTTGCCACATCTGGCCCTGAGACCTGCTATGTGGTCCTGAACCAACTCCCTGTGCTGGGCCAGGCCACCCTATAGAATCCAAGGGAGGTGTCTGCTCCACTGCTTATCCCCACCCCATATGTATCATGAGTCCTGCCTCCTAACTCTCAGCCTCCATCCCAGACTCACTTCATGGGCTGAGCAGAGTATGTTGCTAACCACATATAAACCAATATACCAAACAGAGGTCTCCAACTGAGCTCAAACACTGTCCCCTTCATCCCCCAGGAAAAAGGCTGACCCCAGCATTGCTAGGCACCCTTCAGGCCTGGTAGAGTCACTTAGGTTGCTCTGCCTGGTAGACCGGGACCTCTGGTGCCCACAGTGAGATAAGCCACATGTGTCTGGTCCCTTCTCTCCTTCCTCCCTGCCCTCATTTCCCTTCAGCTCTCACGGTCTTAGGCATGAGCTGCATCTGTTCCCGCACAGTCTGGGCATTGCTTGGAATGCATGTGTCTTTATTTGCCATCTCATTTGATTTCTTCCTTTTTTTTCTACACAGTGCCATGTTTTTAAAATCCATTCACGTTGCTGGGAACATCTGGTTTCTATTTCTGGTTATTTTTATAAGGCCATGGTCACAGAGATTCAAACTAAGAAAAGTCTCCTTTAAATCTAGCTTTAAAATTTAGCCTTAACAATATTCTTTGACAGTTTCATACATGTACAGAATGAATTTTAGTCATTTTCACCCCTCTTGCCATCTCTCATCCCCCTCTTGCTGAAACCCCTCCTAACAGTCCCCACGCCCATTTTTATGTCTTAGGTTCTTATTCAGTGGATGAGTTTTCCTTGTGTGGCGCTGGTTCTATCCCGTGGGGGAAGGAGGCTGTTGTGAATGCAAATGGGAAGTTGGCCTGAGATTCCCTTGTGCTCCAACCCCTCCCCCCATTCCAGGCCCACCCTGGCAGTGTCTCTGAAGAGCATGTGCTCAGCCTTGCTAGCGTGCTCACCTAGGGGTGCCTTCTCCTGGAGTCCTTTATCTGAGCATTCTAGTAGATGCTGCACAGAAGGAGGAAGGCCAGGGGGTCTTGTCTGCTGAGATGTCATGGGCTAGTGTTGCTGAAGACTTTGGCAGGATTTTTTTTTCTCCTCCTCAATCTTCACAGCTCTGAGAGGATATACCCAAGAGATATCCTGGAGTCCCTTCTAGCTGGAGATCCAGGGAAGGCGGGTACCAAGTGGTTTACAGTCACCTTGGTTTGTGTTCGCCTCTGCCACTTTCTCCATGCCCAACTTGGGACAGCTACATCACTGACTGTGTCTCATGTCCATGTTGTAAGTGGGGGCTATAGGAATCAAGCTCTCAAAAAGCCAAGATGGGATTGGGTGGCACAACTCGAATATTCAACAAATAGCACTGAGGATAGTAAGAATACTACTATTGTTTTTGTATAAATGTGGCTCCTTCTTCAATGCTGCCTCTTGTCATGTGTCCTTGGGGTGACAGCTGTGTGCCTCCCGCTCACCTCTTGTAAAGAATGTATCAGAACTGGGTCTGGCTGGGCCCGGCTCACTGGCTGTAGGCTCTAAGGCACTAGATTCACTCTGTCCACTTGTGACACTGCGAGGGAGGGGTCCCTCTTTGCTGTCTTTCCAAGGGGGGAGGTCTGGGGCCCAGTGTGGAGGCTGTTGTTCAGGCCGAGGCATTCTCGAGTCTTTCTGAATTCTCAATGTGATGACTGTGAGCGAGTTCCCTGAGCCACACCATGGCCATGTTTTCTTCCAGAGGATGTTGAGGATGAACTCACAAAGGAAGACATTGTCCTGTCCCCACCTCCATCAATGCTCAAGCTGCAAGCTGTGTCAAAGCCAATTGACCTCTCATTGGCGAAGGTAGGTGTCCTTGCAGAGGTGTAAGAGTTCACATTAAAAACAGCTTGATGCAAAGTGGTTCTTTCTCATTATAATCTCTTGAATATTGTTGAAGTGGGAACTGGGACCTGACGGATAAGAAACCTGAACCAAGGGTCGGGAAAACTTTCAGTCCTCACTGCTCATCTGCTTCCTTGAGACAGTGAAAAGGCTGTGTCTTCCTCTTCTAGATGCTGGAGGACCCTGCTCTTTGGCCCAGAGCTGCCTTGCCTGTGCAGCGTAACATTAATGGAGTAGTTGCCCTGTGAGACTGACTCTGTGCCTACACTGACTTTATGCTCTAGGCTCTGGGCAACTGCAGAACTGGAAGGACAGGGAGGGCTGGTAGTTCATCAACATACCCAGGTTTGAACCTGTGGCCTTTTAGATGAACCCATGACAGCAGGTTCCCTGCCTTACGGCCTGTGTTCCTCAGGACCCTTAATTGCCAGGGTGACTCACCCCTCCTTTAGCTAGAGGCTCCTGCAGGATGAAACGTTGTTCCTGCTGCCCCACACCAGCCTTTCAGCTAGGATCCAGGGGAAGATCTAGAAGCGCCTGGAGATACAGCCAACTTCTTTCTTGTCCCACTTATCTGTGTGTACTTGGCACATAGCTCCTGATATGAAAGGTTTTTTCTTGAGAGTTTGTTTTCCCTCCTCTTCTCTGTTCCTCTCTGTTCCAGCTTTTGAGGCTACAGAGGGCTAGACACATGGAAGGGGCCCCAAAGCACCATGCTCTGACCATCCACAGTCATGGGGCCATGGTCCTCTGTGCAAGCACTTCTGCTTGGCGCTGAGCCCTCGGAAGCCTCCAGAGACTGCCCAGCAAGAGAGGACAGGGCTCAGGCTTCTGGGCTGTTAAACATGCTGTGGTGTCCTGGAACTGTCACTCTTTGACTAAGAGATGGCAACAGGGTCCACCCAGAAGACCCAAGTCTGTAGTTTTCAGGCTGTTGGAAGAGCATTCCACGCACACTCATGGTTTCGCTTGACACAGCAAGGGGAACCAAGCCCTGATGGATGAATTCATTTATCCAGCCACGTTTGATATGACATGTAGACACATGTCTGTGTCACTAAGGGAAGAGATGAAAGAATTGATTGTAGTTGACAGTGATCCAGGTCCACCGGAGGAGCCTGACCTTAAGAGCGGGCTCCAGGAAGGGGCTGGAGACCAACCAGCTGGTCCTAGAGGCCTCTTAGGGCTTCAGAGTACCCCACCCTTGGTTGTAAAATGTGACTGAAAGCCATGGACCAACATGGGGTAGAAGAGGGTGGGACCCCTCAGCATGAAGCATTGGTATTGCAAAGCGGACAGAGTTGCTTGGGTTACTAGAAGATGAACTACAACTGAGTATCCTCTGATGTCTAGAGAGTTTGGAGATCTGGGAGAATGGAGACATGGCCTTGGGAAGTGGTAGGAAGCCCTGAGGGTGGTGGGGCTTTCTCTAAGATTTAAAGGGAGGCCATTTACAGGTGGCATTCTAGAGGGGTTTCGTTTTTTGCAGAAATCTAGAGAACATGCTTTTGACTTTGCTCAGGGCTCTGGTCTCTGTTGCAACTACTCATACCTGCTGCTGTGATGTAGAAGCAGTCTCAGATAAAAGGTAAACAATGCCAATTGTTGTGTGCTAATAAAACTTTATTTGCAAAACCAGTCAGGTGCCAGATTTAGTTTATGGACTGTAATTTGCCACCTTTGTGCCAGATTTGTGACTGGAAGCCTTGCTATAAAGTGGAATCACTTGGGGCAGTTTAAAATCTGATAATGAGGTTAAAACAGAAAGCCATGGCTTTCATTTTTAGCACACTAAAATAAATAAACAAACTTATGGATACTGGCCTCTCATCTTCAGGCATGTGGATTGAATTGACCTGGCCCATGGCCTACACATCAGGATTATTTTTAAGTGCCGCGAGATAATTTTAATGTGGGGTCAGGTTGGAAAACTTACAGTCTTTCTGATGAAGGATCCGAGACCCTCCAGGATCCCCAGTGAAGCCAAAGTTTTATGTTTCAAAGTCCGTGTAAGGAAAACCTTGGCCCATGTTAGCGTGGGCTGGTGTGATTTACAGATACTCCAGAGGTAAGGAGGCTCTTAAGGTCAGGTTTATCTTCCTCAAATATGAGAAGAATGGACTTGCAAAATAGAGACCACTGCGAGAAAATGCACTTTCTAGAACCCACAACCAACTCCTGCAGGGCCTGTGCTGCAAACCTTGCTATTGTTTATTTTATAAACAGCCAATGGTATGCTTTTCCCTCCCAGGAGATGAAGACCCTTCTGTTTGGCTCTACCTTTTGCTGCTTCAGTGAAGAATGGAAACTCCAGAACTTTTCCTTCAACAACACCGCCTCGTTAAAATACGGCATTGTGCAGAACAAGGCAGGTTGCTCTTGGGATCCCCAGGGACCCTTCTTCTGGGTTGTCCCACATGAAGTGGGAACATCATTCACGGGGTGACCTCAGGGGGCGCCAGTGGGATGATCTGACCCACCCCACAGTTAACCAGGATGTCACTTGGTGCAGGCAGTTAAGATATGGTTGCTGGAGTGAGATGGGCCATTGTGATCCTTGCTGGGGACATTCTAGTCAAACCCACTTCCTCTGATACTGGGATGTCAACATGAGGGACCAGAAGGTGGCCTTGAACATGTTCGGAGAGGCTGGAGGTTTCATAGGTAGAGCTGGAGAGGATCACTTTTGGAGAATGGACGCAAGCACGGGTGGGGTCATGTTTCAGGAAATGTGTATCATGGGTGCAAACAGGTGTAGGAAGAAGGTGCAGTGGTTGTTACAGAGCCAGAGGTAGGTGGGGGAAGCTTTGCACCTGCCCTGGACATATTCAGCAGACAGACTCTAGAAAGACATGAAGATGTTCCCACTCTGAGGCCAAGGGCTGCAGGAGAGCTCCACCGGGCATATTCCTCAGTCGTGGATCTACCCCTGCCTCTGCTGTCTGAGGAAGGGCTCCGAGACTACCAGCTTCTGCCTCCCTCTGTGGTGTGGCCAAGCTCACTCCTCTTTTATCACAGCCTCAAGGGTATCCTGACCTATTGCTCTGACAATCCTGGGACATGGTGGGAGCTGTCTGAGTGACCAAAAAACCCATAGTGGTGTCCCTAACGTCATCACACCTGACTTTGTAAATAGTCACTTTGAACCCATGAGGAAGTATCTAAAACTTACTTCTTTGGAGCAGACTGAGGCCTAGGAATCTACATATAGGCAGATCCCCTTGCTGAAGATGCCCTGTGACTGGGGCTAGAGGCTGGTGGGTGCAGTGGGCAGCTTCTTGGGGCCATTGCACTGGTAGTGACAATGTGTTTCTCTGCAGGGCGGTCCCTGTGGGGTTCTGGCGGCTGTTCAGGGCTGTGTGCTGCAGAAACTCCTGTTTGAAGAAGGTAGCAGAACCAACTCTAATCTGTAAGTCGGTGCTCATCTTCCTTTTCCAAGGCTTCTCTGGAGTGTCCAGAATAAATAAGCAAGGGAGCATGGGTGTTCCCTGGAGGTCACCACAGGTGAAGGCAGCTAGCTAGCAGGGCTCCTGCTGACCTGGTTAAGCAGACATGGTACTTATGCTTCTAGGAGCAGGCAGGGTTGGTGAGTCATGTTTTGCCCCACATGGCAAGTAACTGAAGGCGGCTTTGCAGCGTTACCCACCTCCTCAGACCCCCTCCTCACCCATAAGTACCCGCTGACCCTCTTGACTAGGTCCAGGGCTCCCTCCCTTGCTCCCTGCTTATCTTTTCTCTGTCAACAGCCAGAACTACACATTCCAGCCAACGCCACTGCACATGGCTTTCTCCCCTTTGTGGCTGTGTATTTTCCATTTCATACATCAAGTGTTTTACCTCGGTATCCCTGCTCATCTGCATGTAGTCATCACCCCTAGAAAACCTCTGTGCAACGAGGGAAGCAAGCGTTTTGTCTCCCTCCTCCTTCCAGAGGTGCCAACTGAGAGGTTTGAGATTTGCTATTGATTTCTGGTGAGGTCAGCACTGTCGCTGCTGTGAAGAAGCACTTGACATGCTTGATGTGGCAATATCTGCTGAGTTTGGGACCCCTGCCACCCTCAGCAGGGGCCTTGCCTACTTCCCTTCTTAGCTTGGACCATAAATCATAGGGCTGGGATAGTGGTACCCTTCCTCTCATCCTGCTGGGATTGAACAGGAGAGTCAGCCAAATAGACAGGTGGTGATGGGGGTCATGCAGCTGCCAGAGGTGGGAGAGCAGGCTTCCTGCAGGTACATTTGAACCCTCTTGCTGTCTGCAGAAGGAAGGAAGCTCCTTATTCTCCATCATACATACATGTCATACTTTAGTTCCTCTAGTTCTTTCCCTATGTGCCCAAGCAAGCGGTTTGCCTGCTGGCCGCTCTCACTGCCCTGTCTCTAAATACACTATCACTCACGGTGCTTTTGTTCGTTGGCGCAGTCAGGTGCCTGCCTCCTCCCGAAGAATACAAGCCCCATGAGAACAGGGACTTACTTCCCTGAGCTGCGTGGCCCACAGACGTGATTTTGGGAGGTCTTTCTGTATGTTGACAATCCATTGTGTTGGAATTCAGCACAGTGCCTGGCCCACAGGACAGGCCCTTAGGATTTTTGTTGAATGAGTGCATGGACAATGAATGAGCTGTCCCGACAAACAGGGAGGGGAGGCAGAATGGTATTCCAGTAAAGAGAACAAGATGTGCAAAGGCCCTAGGGCAGGGAGAAAGAGGTTGCCTGAGGTGGCTAGGGATGGGGTAGGGCCAGGCAAGTAGAAGGGCCTGAGGGCCTTTGGGACAACCAGCAACTGTGAGTGAGCCTTGGCCCCGGCTCTCGAGAGTGATGTCTTATGACTCATGTCAGCTCAAAGCGCCTTCAGAGCCTCTTTACATCCTTCCCTTTGGACTTTTGGAGCAGTTATATGTAGAAGCTTTCCCAGTGGTTGGGACGCTGTGCTGGAGTTCCAGAAGTGGGATGCTGCCCTGGATATAAGCTGTCTTAGTTTCTTATAGCCCACAGGGGAAGGGCGCCAGAGTTGTGAAGGCCGGAGGCCCCTCAGGTTGGAGCCTAAGGTGATTCTGTGCCAGTGAAACTCTCCTCACTGGCTGCACATTGTTTAGCCCCTGTCAAGCCTCGCCTAGGCCTAATCTGCACACTGCTGCATAGGCAGCTGTAACGGGGCTCTGCTAGGGAAAGGAGCAGGAAGAAATGTGTCTTAGAGCTCCCGCGTGTGTGACCTGAGAAAGAAAGTGGGTTCACAGGGACAAAAACCCCGCGGCGGCCAAGTCTGCTGTATTTGCATGTGGGACCCGGGTCATGCTGGGCCTTGAGGCGACACACTTGGGGGGAGGAGGAGGAGGCAGGAGTGCTGCTGGGAGTTATATAGTGTATGTGTGTGGATCTATAATGTTGGGGGCTTATGTTGTATGCGGCTTGTGTGTGGGAAGGTTGTATTATATGTGGGGTTGTGCTATATGTTTGAATTACTGCATGTAGGCTGTATTTTGTTAGGAAAGTTGTGTGTGTGTGTGTTATATTATGTATGGGTTGTATTACATTGATGGGATTTTGCTGTGTGGATATTATATTTGTATGGGAGTTATGTAATGGAGAAAAGTTGTATCGTATGTGAGATTGTATTGTGTGTGTGTGAATTTTGTTTTATGGGATAATTGTGCTCTCTTTGAAGGTTATATGTGGGGTTGTGTTGGATGCAAGGTTTATTTTGTGTGTGAGGTATATAGTATGAAGGTTGTAGTGTACAAATTATATTATGTGAGAGTTGTGCTTTGGGGCTGTGTTGTGGGTTATTTAAAAGTTGTATTGTATGTGGGTTGTATGGTGTGAAGGTTGTGTTGTATGGGAGCTGTATTTTATGTTGAAGTTGTCTTGTGTTTGAGTAGGTTATGTTATTTAAGTGGCTCATGATTGTAGAAGGATGTGTTGTATGTGAGTTGTGTTATATCAGTGGGTCATATTCTGTGTGGGGTGGGTGATTTTGTGTGTGTGGGCTATGCTGTGTGAGGGTTGTGTTGTGTGAGTATGTTTTGTGTGTGGTTCATATTGTGCGAGTGCATGATATTATGTGTGTAGAGTCTGTCTGTGGAAGATGACGAAGCACCCTTTCTTTGGACCTGGTAGTTCTGGATGCTGCCCATCATCTCTCTGCATCCCACATCCCTGTGGTCCTCAGGCCTCCTAGGAAGTGAGAAGCAGGAACACCTGGCTCAGCTCTCTGAAGTCCAAGGAAACTTAGGAAGAAGTGGTGGAGGGGTGATCTGTAAAAGTCCCTAAGACCCTCCCAGGTGAGCAGCATGGACTCTTCCTGGCCAGAGTGCTCTAGGTAAGGGCACTGCTGTTCTCTCCAGTCTCCTACCAGGGTGACGGTGCCACTGCCTCAGGCAAAGTTAGGGCTGGGGAGGAAAAGCACTGGGCACACAGGACTAGTCCACTACTGATAGAAGCACAGAGCAGGGGACTGTTCTGGGAGCAGGAGAGGTGGGAGGGTGCCATTCGCTAGTGTCCTGCAGGTTGAGGGCTACAGTAGTGTCTTTGTCCAGTGGGTGTGGTGTGTCCTGAGGGCGGAGAGAGCCAGTGTGCTAGGGGGGAGGTGACAGAGGGCACAGAAGCTGGTCAGGACCTGGGTTACAGTGGTGGCTGAGGTCTCACGTCTCTGAGTTAGTGAACGCCCTCAAGTTGCACTCCTTGAGAAAATGCAGACAGAGCCTTTTTAAAAACCTTCCAGGATCATGCAAAGGACTAGGTCCATTGACCTTGGCTCGTCACGGTACAGATGGGAAAACCAAGGCCCACAGATGGAGAGATGCTAGTTCAGGGTCAAAGTTGGCACCGTTGCTGAGCCAAGACTGGCCTGTGACATCTTGCCTGTCACAGCATGTTACTGCACACTGGAAGCAGTGTGGCCAGAGATGGCTGTTGGAGGTGGAAACAGCTGACGAATGCTCCGGTACTCTTTAGGTTCTCTGTGTACAAGGAACTTCTTAACAGAGCCCCGTCTGCCCCAGTTTGGGGAAATTGGTGCAGAGGAGCACAGACAGCTACTCTGTAGTCAGGTGTGTGTCGGGGTTGTGGGTACAATTATGTACGTTTTAGAACTCCAGCTTGAGTGATGTATGTGCCAGGTAGTGAGGCTGGAGTCATCCATGTTCCTGCCTGGGCTGTGCATGCTCGGCGGCTTTGAGGCCTGACTGGGCCCTTTTCACTCTGGAAGTTTTAGAAACTGCCCAGCTTAATAAGAGCAGGGTTGAGGAGGGGAGGAGGACAAGCTCCTCTTTTGACTTGAAACTGTGGTGCTTCTCGGGGCGCTCTGCCAGGCTAAGTGTCTTGCCCACGTGCAGCTCCTGGACTGCGTTCTTGCACACCGGGTCTGAAGGATCCACAGAAAGGGACAGGGTTCTAGGAGAGCAGAGCCAGGGTGGGTGGCCCCTTCAGGGAAGCCAGGCAGAAATAAATGCTGCTTGGCAAGGCCATGTGTTTTCTGTGTGGCTGTCTGGCCTCATTACGACCCAGTCCATCAGGCTGGCAGCTGCCTCGCCTCAGTTAGCCCGACAAAGCCAGGCGGCAGGATGCGGTGTTTTTCCACTGGACTGGAGCTATGCAGCTTGGCTCATCCCTTCCAGGCCCCAGGAGAGCCCTGGGGCCTTTAGAGGCTGGCAGGAATGCAGAGAGGGGACCTGGGATGCTGTCCTCTTACCATACTTCCTTTCTGAAATCATGGGACTTGAAGTTCAAGCAGGAGCATTTGTCTTGTATCCTTAGATACAAGGCCCCTGTGGTCTCCAGCAAGCCAGTCCACTGTCCTCCCTCAGAGGGGCAGAAATGAGGGAATCATGGCCGGGCACACTCTTCAGCTTTATCCAGAACTTTCTATAGACGTAGACGTCGTTCACATGGGTATAAGTTTGGGGGCAGGTGCAATTGTCTTGAGAAAATTAGGATAGAAGCACCCATTTTCTCTGAGACACTTGAGAAGACACAGGTTTCCCATCCAGCCCTCCCTAGGCATTTCAGCCTGCACTTCTGGAGGAATTAGACTCTTGAAGAAACTTTCACTATAAGAGCCTGGCTGGGGGCCAGATTCCTGATGGAAATGTGCTAAATGCGTGTCTGATGTCTAGGCAATGTAGGATCTTCTCTGTCACCAAGGGATCACCAGTGAAGCTATTGCCCAGATACTGGAGAGGGTCAAGTCCTGGCTGTGTAGGCAGGTACAGGTGACCCATCTTTTTGCTGTCATCTTTGGGATAAATGCATGTTTGTGTGTGTGTGTGTGTGTGTGTGTGTGTGTGTACACAGAGAGCTCTGACAACCGTGGGTAACTTGAATGCAGAACAGCAAGACTGCGTGAGTCTCCCTGCTGCCTGGGGACCAGATACTGACCCCAGACTTTTTGAGTGCTGGTCACTGCATTTTTTGTGATCTACTGTCTATCTAGAAAATGAGGTCTCAAGGCCTTGAGAAGCCTTGCCTCAGAAAGATGGGGAAGGCCAGGATAAGGTTGGACCTTCAGATGCTGCTAACTGGAAGCTGACTGGAAGAGTGAGGACTTGGAAACAGGCCAGCTCAGAGAGGTTGCAGGCAATGCCAGTGGGGACAGGGAGATACTGGCCCAGGAGCACGCTGTCTTGATCGTGTCACAAGATACTTGACAGGTGGGCCGCAAGGCAGATGGCAGTTCCTAAAACCATGGTTAACTCAACTCTCCTATACTGTCCTTCCCTTTCTCCTCCCTGTGGCTTGGATACATCACTTCATTCCAAAGACTTAGTTCTTCATTCTTAAAGAGGGTGGGTGATATAGTTCTGACTCCTGGGGTTCTTCTAACAGTCTCATGAAATGACACATACAGAGTGCTTATCATCAGTGGCAGGCACTTGCTGAGGACTCCTGTGCTTGCTTTTAAAATCTTGAATGACGGGGTGGAGAGATAGCTCAGAGGTTAAGAGCACTGACTGCTCTTCTGGAGGACCCGGGTTCAATTCCCAACACCCACATGACAGCTCGCAACTGTCTGTAACTCCAGTTCTAGGGAATCTGACACCCTCACGTAGACATAAATGCAGACAAAACACCAATGCACGTGAAAACAATCTTGACTGTCACTGCACTGAAAGGTTTCCAGGCGAGGATTGCTTGCTTCAGCCATTCACTTCAAGCGCAGTACGCAGATGAGGTCCCTGTGGCTCCTAGACTGTAGTTTCCCAGCCATGGGTATACCAGGCAGTGAGCGTCTGTTCAGGCAAGCTTGCACACAGCTCCTGCCAGGTGAGGGTTTTAATCTGGGTTGAGGTGGGGTCGTTGTGGGAGGAGGTCCCACCTCAGACATGCTGGTGACTGTGTTCTATGAGACTGGAGGAGGCCAAGGAGAGAATGAAGCTGATCAGTGGGAGGGGAGCCCAGGGAGAAGGTAGACATGAGATGCAGGCATGCAGTGAGTGAGTAAACCATAGCGTCATTTGGAGAGCCACCAAGCCTGTTTGTAGCTTCTGGATCCAAAGAATTAATGTCTAACCCTCTCGCCTGTTGTTTGCCCATCTCTACCATCCAGGCTGCTTTGTCCCTGGCATGGCCTCTCCTGAAACCCAGAGAAATGTTTTTTTCAATGTTATTTTCCTAGCAAGTGCTGACCTGGGTTGGTGCTCCTAACAGCTTAGGCCATCCTGTTTGGCGATGATATGGTCCCCATTTCCTGTGAGAAATATGGCAGGCTTCCTGAGTTTGAGGAGGCATCAGGCGATCACTGGCTCACTTTCTTCCAGGCTAAGCCTCATTGCTCTTCTGGCTGCCTCCACAGCCTGGCCAGTGCAGGAGCTCCATGTCAGTAGGTGTCAGGTGGACCCCTAGTCTGTGGATGTGGCCCAGGTGGTGCCAGTAGTGATGGAACCAGCAACGGAAAACTCTCATGCAGCCGGGAACGAGCTCGTGTGCATGCAGTGTCTTGTTTAAGGCTCCCAGCACTGAGAGGAGCTCAGTGTCGTTGCCAGTTTCTCAATGGGGAAACGGAGGCACCACTGTGTCTTGACACCTTTTATTTTAAAGTAATTAGATTTTCATTCTAAATAACAGCCTGTCTGTAAATGCATGGCTCTGGGTCCCACCATAGTAGCTGTTTGGTGGTCTCCTGGCTTCTCTCCTCTAGCCCTGGCAGAAGGGGTGGGGAGATTCCAGCAGTCTCGCTCACACATCTCAGTGCGGGGGGTCAGGCATTTTTGGTGAGTGAAAACCTGGAGTTCTCCTGTGTGCATTCCTTTGCCCTGCCCCCCCCCCCCCCAAGCAGGTCTTCATCTTGCTGGTTAGGAAGAGATTCGAGCCAGCTTCTGCAAGAATGTAGGGAGATCCACCGAGCACAGAGAAAAGCCAGGAGCACAGCACGGAGGAGCCCTGGAAATGTCAAGTGGAAAGAATCAGCCATATTTGGCAGCTGCCTTCCTCCCTCTTATTCTCACTGTGTCCCAGGAACCTCTTAGTCACCATCCTTATTGCAGGACGGCTCAGTGGCTTTAGATGTGGTGACTGGCTGAGCTTCCTAAAACTACCCGGTGCCTACACGTTGCTGCTCTGTGTCCTGTTTCTCTCTCCCACCTTCCTCTCCTGTGCCTTCCCCACACCCTGGAGGTCCATCCTAGCAGCCCTTGTCTAGGAAATGTATGCCAGCCCACTGTGTCTGATGCTTTGCATGTGTCGCACGGCTTCTCAAGGGGTCTGAGGAGGGGCACCCCCATCACAGCACGGCCACTGCTGTCAGCCACATGCATGGTAGCGCCCCATAGCCATCCCTGAGTCTGAGTCTGTTTACGTAGTCAGCTAGTTAGGGTCCTGGCTTCTGACCACTTATAGTCACATCTGCCCCCAGCTGCTGGGACTGGCCAAAGCCAGGGCAGGAAAGTGCCTCACATCTGCCTATTGTGGCACTAGTGGCAGCGTATTCTTGGCCCTATCAGAATGAGAAATCCTCTTATAGTTCATGTTGAGACCTTGCCAAGCCTCTGAGGTTCTCATTGCTCCAGTGGGTAATATTCCTTTCCCAAATTTCAAGACCCTCCCTCAAGGCTCCTCCTATGGTCCTCCTCTGTAGAGCCACAGACCCTGAAGCTTAGCCAGGGATCCCTGGCCTGCAAGGGAAGAGGAGCCATGTGCAAGGGGGCCACCTAAACATGTTCCTGTTGTGCTCTGTGTCCTCATGAACCTAAACATGCACCCTTCTCATTAGCCGGCTGCAGCCCACAGATGCCCAGAGAACGCACTGCCTTGCCCTGGCCCTTGCAGACATCCTGTGGCGCGCTGGAAGCAGAAAGCAAGCTGTGGTTGCATTGTAAGTGGTCCTGGGTGTCACGTTTACTCCCCAACTTGTTCTGGCCCAGCTGATGATGTCCTGGTGCTGGGCGGAGAATCTGCATCCTGGGCAGCTGGACTCTGCTGGTGTCCAAGCTCCAGACTCAGGAAGGAGGAGGTGCTCCTGCCTGCCTGTCCCCCAGGACTTGGGAAGCACAGGCCCAAGTCTGTGTGCCAGGCACTCAGTTCTCAGTGTTTCCCTGATCCTGAGGCCACAGGCTGACTCAGCTGTGACATTATGAGTCTGTACCACCATCCAAGACCCCAAAGCACACTTCTACCTGTGACCTTATACCAGTGAGGGTGAGATGGAGAGGTGAGTGGCAGGGGCTGCAACCTCCATCCTGGATTCTGTTACCTTGACGACAGCTCCATCCTGCCCCACAGTCCCTCAGCCTTGCCCCTAAGGGTGAAAATATCACTTTGCCCCGACACTGTGGCTGTGGTTTGGTAAAGGAGGTGGTTTGGAGACCAGTTTGGTTGCTTTAGCATAGTGCTTAAGAAAGGGGACTCTCTGTCTCGAAAAACAAAAAAAAAAAAAAAAAAAAAAGAAAGGGGACTCTCTCAGGCAGACGCTCCAAGCTGTCGCTCGTTGCATGTGTGACATTGGGAATTGACCTCACCTCCCTGTGCCTCATTTGTTGACTTGTTTAGCAAATGGGGGTGATAATGATAACTTAATGACTGTGAGAACTAAACAAGTAAGTAAATAAGTGATATGTATTAGATATAATGATGTTATCAGTATGAATCATTTGTTAATGTAAATAAATGGTGGATACTAAGTGGGATGTGCTTAGGGCAGTATCTGTGTATCACATCAGCTACTGCTACCTCCTTTATGCCAGGCAACTTATTAACCTTGACACCTATCTGTCTGGTAGCTCTCAGGGCAGAGGGTCAAGAACAGGAGCCCAGAGAAGAAAGCTGATGTGTCCCAGGCCACATAGAAACTGGTGTCAAGTGGGTCCCCACCCAAATCCTACTCTTAGTCAGGACTGCACCGGGCTACGCACCCGTTGTGGTTGCTAGGGGTTGTCTCGGTGGGCGGGGAGGCTTCTAAGAGGATGGCTGGGATCCTTGCCCTGAGCGAAGACGGTGGCAGGCAGCAGTCCTTCCTCCGCAGATGGAGGGAGAGTGAGGTCTCCTGCCAGACATGGGTGTGGTTGTTCCAAGCTCCCCCACCACTCTCTTTTTCCATGCCCAGGACTCGTGGCTGAGATCATAGCAGGAAAAACGAGAATCCCTTGACTCTGTTCTCTCTGGAGCTGCCACTCCTGCCTTCATTTAGTTCATGGCACTTGTGGGCTTGCTGGCTGGAGGGCGTGCCTTTTCATCTGGTGGAGGACTTATGCACCTTCCTTTCCTTTTTAGGACTTCAGGAACAGCACACTTCAGTCCAACAGGGAAATACAAAGCAGATGGAGTCTTAGAAACAGTACGGCTTTCTGGAAAACTCTCGTGTCACCTTTGGCTTTGTTTGGGGACTGTCTCCTTTCATTTAAGTAAATCCTTCCCCAGCTGGGGCTGGCTGGCCATCCCTACAGCCCTAGGCCCCCAGAGTCCTGCCCTTTGGGGGTAGGGGAGGGGAGGGAGGTTTTGGGAATTGGCTCTTGTCAGAGTTGGCCCAATGGCTGAGAGACCCAGTGTCTCCTTATCGCCTCCATGTGCCCTCAGTACCCTGTGTTCCCTGTCGCTTGCAACACTGGCCTCCTGCCCCTCCTGTGTCTCTAGTATCTTTTCTAGGATCCTCATGGATGGGGAAAGGCAATCGAATGTAGAAAGTGGGGAGGGGAATTGATAGCATGGAGCAGCAGCCGTGGGTGAGCCCAACCTAAGTGCAAGGCTAGGGAAGAGGCAGGAAGGACATGTATTACTGAAAACGCAGACACAGTGAAGATACTCAAAACTTGATACCTCTTCACTGACTATTTTTATTTTAGCTGATTTGTTTCCTATGACCTAGCCATGTACATGTGTGACCCTTGAGCCCCCGTTCAGGACCTTACTTGACTGGCTGTTTTCCAGAGATGTGCATTTTTTTGCTGACCTACTTAATAACAGCCTGTTACGTTTTGACCTGGCCTGGCATGGCGACATGGAGAAGTGATTCTTCCCTGACCCTCCTCCTCCTTGTCCCACCCTCAGTCCCTGTGTACAATGACAGGGGAGTATGGGGGAGTCTACAGGAGCTCACCCAGCATGGCTGGACAGCCCAGAATCACAAAACCCTATGCTCTTTCTTCTTTCTTTCTTTCTTTCTTTCTTTCTTTCTTTCTTTCTTTCTTTCTTCCTTCCTTCCTTCCTTCCTTCCTTCTTTCTTCCTTTCATAATAAAGCCAGGGCTACAGGGACTGACGCAGCAATAGGCGCAGTCCTTGGGGACACGTAGCTTACCCTGTGTGTGTTTCTTCACAGCTCACACTGTATAGTTTGACCTGCTGTGAGGACCTGGTGACTTTCCTGCAGCAGAGCGTTCATCAGGTATGAGCGTCGGTTTCCTTGGTGTCATGAGTATTGCTAAGCTTCCTAATTTCTTTATGGAAGAGGGTGGTAAGTAGAGTGTGGTCACCTCCACCCTGGGGTTGGCAGATAAACTGAGCAGAATGTGCTGATGGAGGCTGCAGCATGTGGGTGGGGGTAGGAGACGGTTTCCATGACAACCTTGCAGCAATCGTGGTAGTGATCCCAAGGCCCGAGCTGTACCCGTGGGGCTGCATCTGGGATTAGAAGCCGAGTTGAGGCTTGGCTTTCTAGGGCTTTCCCTGCTGAAGCAAGCAGCTACTCTGGAAGGCTGAACTCTGAATCAGCAGAGAGGGTTCCAGGACAAGCTGGGAGGTGACAAGAAAGCAGCTTCCTTGCAGGACAGGGCCTTGCCAGTGTTCTGGGAAGGTGAGCAGAACCATACTGGACCCTACAGCACCTGGTTTGCTCAAGTGGACTGCTGGGTAGAGATTGGCTCCTGGCCTATGGCTAAGCAGGACAGGAAACATGGGGGTCTTGTAGTTTCCCATGGGATAAAGCGCTGTGGAGTGTGTGGAGGGCATACCCTACATTCCAGGGGCAAAGGGCTTGGCTTATGGAGATAGTCAGCCTGGCTTTGGATCTTGCTGTTGACCCAGAGTGGCCCTGAGACTTGGGCGCCATCCTGAAGTTTTGTGTATCTCAGTTACTTTGTCTGTCACATCCGGATAACAGCCATGCCCTAGCTTCATGGTATGAGCAAGTAAAGAAGGAAGACCTTCTGGGGCGGTCAGGAAAGGCTCGGGTGGGGTATGGGGGAAGGGGATGTTGAGTGGTGAGCTTAGGGAGGGAGATTGGCTGGAGGTGGGCCCCAACTTGAAGTTCCCACTGTTAGATGCCCTTTCTCAGCACTTTTCCCTGAAGATCCTGAGGGTCTTGGCACAGCCCCATCAGCATCCTGGTCTTGATAGACAGATGTTCCCTGGGAAGGAAACAGTCCCACTCTAAGAATAACTGACGACAGGCGTGGTCTGGGGGCACTGGCCCCGCTGAAGCCCTTTAGTCCTAGAGCTGTCACTTCCCATTCTGGGCAGCCCAGGAAAGATCTCCTGGAGCCTGCGCAGCCATCTTGGTTAGGGCAGCTTCCCGTTGTGTCTACGCAGAGGGGTTGGCATGTAGCGAGGGTGCTAGACTAGCTGTCGTTTGCCCCATGCCTTGTTCTGTCTATTTTTTCCTTGGAATAACCCTGAAGGGTGTCTGCCAATGGCACAGCTCCCTGCCTTGCTGAGAGCAATGAGAGTGTTGGCAGCAAGGGCTAAGAGACCTCCTGGTGGCCTTGGTGGCCTTGGCCTTGGGGAAGCCCTGTTTCCCCGTCTAAAGAGGGAAGCTGGAGCAGTTGAATAGCTTCTAGATCAATGAAGACCCTTGAGCGCCTGTGGGAGAATGCCTTCTACACAAAGTGTAGGCACTCTGAGCCAGCAGAACCAATACTGAGTGTCTAATGGCACAGCAGTGTGCCTAGGGGATGCCTATGGAAGCTTGTTCCCTTAGGCAGATGGAGCATGGAGCTGTCCTAGCCAGGGAAGGAAAGTGACTAAGGACCAAGGAGGGGCCATAATGCAGTCTATGAAAGACTCTTCGGCCAGGTCACTGCCCTGTGATGGCCCTCAGCACTAGGGCCTCTGTATCCTGGCCTGCAAGTAGGATCTCATGCCTCAGCCCATGCCCTGGGGTTTCCATGAAGCCTGTGCATGACAGAAACCATGAGAGAGTTCAGAGAGAGGGCCTTGCTGTCAGGTGAGGGCCCCCTCTGTTTCACCTTCAGGCTCTAGGCATGCCTCTTTGCTAGCCGTGGTTCCTCAGGGCAGCGGGTCTAGTCGGTACCTGGTCGCCATTCCTCTGGAAACAGTGCTTTCCCCCACAGTTTAATTTGTATTTTTGCTGGAAGCGGTTGAGCTGCCTCAGCACTGAGCACACCAAATCCATTTTTCATGGGCTGTGCTTAAGAGGCGCTCCTCGTGCCAGGCTTGGAAATGCATGCCACCACGGCCCAAAATAAACAGCCTCCATGTTGTTTTCATTGCTCTTCACCACTTGAAAGGTGTCTGGTGGCCACAAGCCAGTGTGGGAAGCTTCTGTCCTACTGCTCATTGGGATACCTTGGTGGGCTTCTGCCTCTCTCCAGGATCAGAGCTGTGCTGTGAGAGTGGTCCCTTCTTCCCAAGTGTACCAGACATTGTTCCCACCCTTACCCAAGATTTCCGGCCAGGGGTACCTTTCGTGCCATCACGATGCCCCGAGGCCTCCCATGTCTTGGCAGCTTGAATCTGATGAGATAATTTTAACAAATATTTTTAAAAGCAAGAAGGAATATTGGTGCCATTCAGTTGTGTTCTGAGAGGGCAAAAGAAGCCAAGTTGGGCTGGGTTTCCTACTCTCTGGGGGCCCAAAGCGAGCGCTCTCTGAGGTGTCCTCATGGGACCATGCCACGATGCACAGTAACAGCTTCTCACTGTGCACTGTGAGCTCAGCTTCGGTGGCTTTCATGGTCACAGCTATACTGCAGCCCTGCAGGGTGATAGGCCCCACAGGCTTGGCTGGGCAGACAGATCCTAAAGCTGAGGTTTCATCTACACAAAGAGTAAGGCCATAGTAGAAGCGGAGACAGAAGTGAGCTTGGTGACTCCCCTAAGGCCACTGCAAGTCTGTGTCAAAGCTGCACACAGGACCTGCCATCCAAGTCCTGCCAAGTTTGGGTCGCCTCAGTGGGGACAGCAGCATTACTCTGCAGCTGTCACATCCACAAAAATTGTCTTTGAGAACATGCACCGTAAATAACCCAGGGAATCTGAAAGGCAGGGTCTTAATCATCATTGTTTTTCGTTGTGGAAGGCACAGCACCAAGTGCCTGGTTTGAGGTCACAGGATTTAGATGAGGCTGAGTGATGCTCATTCATTTGGTTTGTTACCAGTGTCAGAGTGAAGAATGTTTATAAAATGGGTGTCTTCATAGGATGGGGGCTCGCAGGTCCCCTCTGGCCGGTGTCTGCGCCTTTGCACTCCGGGCCCTTGGGCCTCCGCACTTTACTCGCCTGAAGCAGTGGTCACTTCTCTACTTGTTGCCTTCTGGACTCCCGTTAGATACCACATCTCCAGAAAGCCCTCTCTGAACCTCTCCTTCTCCACATCCAGCTTCCTGTGCTACTTTCCCGTGGTTTTCAGAAGAGCTTGCAACCCTGTTCTGAATGAGCTTTCTCCACACTTTCCAAGTTGTGTTTTTTTTTTTCTTTCTGAGTCACCCCCACCAAGTGGACACATGCTCACCTGCTTCTTAGGTAACCCCTTAGTAGAGACCCGCCTCTTGTATTGTTTATTTTGGAAACGGGTTCTCTCTGTGCAGCCCAGGTTGGCCTCACAGTCGTTTATAGCCCACAGTGTCCCTGAGCTTTCAATACTCCCAATCTTCTAGTGCTGAGCTCACAGACGTACACTACTGTGCCTAGAGGGAATGTGTTCGTGGTTCAGGAACTTCACTCTCTGTTATATTTTTATGATCAGTTAACTGACGATTTGAATTACGGGGTGGAAACAAAGCCTGTACTTTGAAGGAAAGATAACTTTATTAGAACCTTGAGCTGTCATAGTTTCCGAACTAGAATACTATATTTGATTCTGAGTTCCTTGGTGGCCCAGGAAGAAATGAAAATGTACTCAGTTATGTTCTTCTTGTTGAAATAGCCATTTCTCCTTTTAGCTTTAAGTCCAGAAACTATTGTTGACATACAAGGAGTACTAACTATTATAACTGCATCTTCAGACACAGTTCATCTTGCCCTAAGTGGGATGAGTCAGGTTTTATAGTGGTGTGGGCCTGGGAGCGGTTGACTCTCTATCTCAGTAAGCCATTGTCTTAGGTTTCTGTTGCTTTGATAAAATGTCATGACTAATACAATTTGGGGAGGAAAAGGGTTATTTTGGTTTACGACTCTCAGGTCATACACCGTCACTGAGGGAAGTCAGGAATTGAAGCCATAGATGGGTGCCCCTTACTGGTTTCCTCCCCGTGGCTTGCTCATCCCCATGTTTTATTTTATTTTTAAACATTTTAGATTTTACTTTTATCCATCTTATTGAAAATATTGTAACATCCTGATTATAATTTCCCCTCCCTCTAATCCTCCCTGTCTCCCCTCCCATCTGGATCCACTCCCTTTTTGGCTCTCATTAGAAAATAATGGGCTTCTAAGAAATAATAATAAAATATATTATCAATCATTAGTCAATAAAATGCCCTACAGACTTGCTACATACAGGCAATCTGGTGAGGCATTTTCTTTTCTTTTTTTTTTTTTTTTTTGGTTTTTCGAGACAGGGTTTCTCTGTTGCTTTGGAGGCTGTCCTGGAACTAGCTCTTATAGACCAGGCTGGTCTCGAACTCACAGAGATCCTCCTGCCTCTGCCTCCCGAGTGCTGGGATTAAAGGTGTGCACCACCAACGCCCGGCTGAGGCATTTTCTCAATTGAGCATTTTTCTTATCAGATGTCTCTAGCTTGTGTCAAGTTGCTAAACACCAAAACAAAACAGTATCAACAATGGACAAAAGTAACCAGCACAACTGTGGCCCCTGGGGTAATGGGTGGGTGGTGCAGAGCCAGAACTGTACCGTAGTGTAACAGAGCCACCACAGGTGCCAGGCAGGCCCTTCTCGGAGTGCTCTACCGCTTGCTGTAAGCAGAGCCTCCTACTTTACCTGTAGTTTACAGAGGAGAAGGGTGGGTAGGGACCAGGAAGTTCAGGAACACCTCTATAGCCGTGTGGCTGGCTCAGAGTGGCAGAGCTGGGAGGCCAGGGGGAAAGGTTAGGATGCAAAATAGACAAGATGCAGCGTCAGCAACATTTTAGTATCAGATAAATCAAACCCAGATAATGGAAATGTGTGGTTTAAGGCCCTTTTGTAATAGTAACTTTGTTACAAAGGTGGGCACTCCCTGGTTTCCGGTGGCTGTCTGCCTGCTAACTCCATAGCTCAATTCTTCTGTATAGGGAGCTGGGAGGCTTAGGCATCCACTGTGTTGCACAGGCGCTGGGCAGCCTCATTCTCTGGTAGAGGGCAATAACAGAAGAGCTCAGCTCCCTTCCGTCAGGGTCGGGGTGACGGTGGTTGCAGAATGGAATGTGTTGTCACTGCTACTAGATCCTGGGCTTTGGTGCTTCTGAGGTCATATGTGGGCTCCATGATGGCATTTGTGTTGCCCAGGTTTTGGGATTCAGTTCTGTGCTCCTCTGTCCTTTAGAAGGCTTGGCTAAGAAGGTCTGAATGGGACATATTCTCTATAGCTACTGACCAACCTCTGTGATTGGGCTGGAAGCCATGAAGCCATGGCCCTGGCAGGCTTTCCCCCAGCTAAGGCTGCACGGGTGGCTTCAGGTGACAATATGCATCTGACAGGTCCTCTTTCTTCCTCCCTCAGTTCGAAGTGGGGCCCTATGGTTGCATCCTGCTCACCTTGTCTGCCATCCTGTCCAGATCCTTGGAGCTGTGAGTATCTCCTTCATCCCGGGGCAGGGGCTGTGTGTCTTGTTCCCTGGACAGCACATGATGAGGCAGCAAGGAGGGGACAGCTGGCGCGGTGGAGACGAGCGGTCACAATCTATATACACACCTTCCTGGGGTTACCTTCTCTGTGGCCTTCCCATATGCATGCTAGAGACAGCAGAGGAGGCCCCCTCCCTCCCTCCCTCCCTCCCTCCCTCCCTCCCTCCCTCCCTCCCTCCCTCCCTCCCTCCCTCCCTCCCTCCCTCCCTCCCTCCCTCCCTCCCAGAGCTTCCATGCAACTGCAGTACCAGCAGGCTTGAGCACTCAGTGAGAGTCCCCTGACACGTGTGCAGGAGTGGATAATGGAGGCAGAGAGCTGGGCATTGCCATTAGGGAGCCCAGCAGATTAATAGCACATGAATTTTCTGTGAAGTACAATCGATTGATCCTCCATTCCTTCCAAGCAGAGGCAGGTCTAGGGTGTGGAACTCTGGAGGAGGGAGCATGGTTAGGAATATCTGGTGAGGGGGATTTGGGAAGGAACTCTTAGCAGGTCTGGGGAAAGGATTGAGCCTGGGTTGCCCTGGCAGAAAGCGCATTTGTTCCCCTATTGGTGTCAGCTGGGCCGGTGGCCTAGTGCCGTCTCCCTGGGCCTCTGCTGTGGCCGGGAGGAGGCATGGGGCTTTGCAGCCTCGTGCGCTGGCCCTCCTGCTGCTTGCCACTCCTGACCTTATTAAGCTAGAGTATGCACAGCACTTTCTAATGGCATTTTATTTCTAATCCTGCCATAATGATATGATTCATTCCTGGTATGGGCTCACATGCACGGAGACCATAAGCCTTTCTACCTTCTCCTGGCCTTGGCTTATTAATCCTTGGTGGTGGGAGGGCTGCATGTGGGAGCCTTCAGCCTCCCTTAGAGGAGCTATGCTCTTGGGGATCTAGCCTAGGAGTTCTCACTTCAGCTTCCCCTTCTGTGCAGGAGCTTTCGGCCCAGGGTCCAGGTTATCATGCCTAAGGGTGCACTGACTGTCGCAATCATTGGAGCAGCCTGGCCATGTGCAAGCTCCTTTCTGTAGCCCTCTCCCTCCAGAAGGGACTCAGGGCTCAGCATCCAAATGATCATCCCATTGGGCAGAGCAGAGAGCTATTGCCACCTCTTGCTAACCCATGGAACCTGCCAGGCAGGTCAGGGCAGCCCCCATCCAGGTTTTGTCACTTGTGGGCATCCATCAGGGTGAGGATAGCAGAGGATAGCCGTTATGGTTCTGCCAACACATGCATGTGCTTGAGCTCACACACACACACACACACACACACACACACACACACACACGGGCACACGGGCACACGGGCACACAGACACGTAAGCACTGACTAATAGATAGGTATGCACAGGGATTTACACAATTTACACATACGTAACGTGGACACAGAGGTGCAGTCCAGCTGACTCCAGGGCCTCTGGGCAGGGTAGTCTCTATGTTAGGCCTCTTCCTTCCCAAGGAGCTGAATAGGGATCTGCTGTGGGATGAGCTTGGTCTCGTCCCGGTGATGTCGTTCATCTTTCTTTAGAGGACACAGTAGTGGACAGGCCCATGTGCAGTGAGAATAATGGCTGCCAGCATCTCCTGCAGCTTCATTGTGCCCAACCCCTTGCTTTGACAGTCACACTGGGTGGGTCCGCTATGGTCCCTGTGCCTTTAGGAGGCGATTGGTTTGCCCAGGTTACACAGCAAGGCAAGCCGGCAGCCAGCTACCAAGCAGGCTGGCCCCACCCAGCTTTTCTGGTTTGCCGAATGCAGAGGGAATTTTGGGTGAGAGGCAGACTCAGGGTCAGGACTGATTGCTTCTCCGGACTGGAGCTTCTTCCCCTAAGATCTGGAGCTTCCTGGGCCATTCATCCCCCATGGTTTGCTCCATCTTTCCTCTACAGGAGGCCCCTGGATCACAGGTAGGGTAAGGCCACCTTGGACAACCCTCTAGAGCATGAATGATGGGCAGTGTTCCTGCTGAGTGCTAGCCTCCAGTATATACTTCCTGCCAAGCCTGAGCACCATGGGGTCCGAAGTGGGCCCAGTGGGAGGACCATTCCCTGGCCTGGGGTGTCCAGTATGAAGTAAACTTGAGGTGACGTCAGTTCTTTCTGATCTGATCAAGTACAATGAGGCATGGAGACTGAGGGCTTCGAGAACCAGGGCAGATCTGTGTCACCTGGGTGTGGCATCTGCATATGCTCTCAGAAGGCTGCTTGATGTGGGAACATCCCAGCAGAGCTAACCTTGCCTGCCCCACCTGTGATCTGGAGGCTTCATTCTGAGGACGGATGGGGCAACGGTGAGGGCAGGAGCAGCCCATGAAGTCCCAATGCTGCCCTGATTCTGAGAGTGATGTTGAAATGACCACAGCCCCAGTTTTGGAGGGACAGCTCTGCTGACGATGGTGCTCTGCTGGGTAGTGGCCCTGGGAGAACCCACTTCCCATGTACTACCTTGGGGGCCAGCAACCCTCCAAGGTCTTTCTTCATAGACATCTGGACACAGAAACCTCGGGACACATAAGTATAGATGTCACCCAGTTCAGGTACCAGGCGGCCAGTTGGTGAAACCACAAATGCAAACCTTTGATGGATCAAGGGCACTTGGGTCCCCTCCCACTCAGTGCCCACAGCCCTTTCTGGGCCTTCAGTTCTTTATCCTTAGCGGACCAGGGCTATGATAGTGCCTTTTAAACTCTCATTGAAATGAAACTAAATCTAATTTATTCCTCAAATCCATTTTAAAAAACAACAACAAAAGACACACGCATACACACAAGAGCCATCTCAAAACTCACTGCGTAAAGCAGATGCAGTCAGGTGACTGGTGAGTGTGGAGGCAGAGGGGAGGGCAAGTCCCCTGCCTGCCCCTCCTCAACATCTGGCATGGCTCTCCCTTGGACGAATCCCAGCTCCGCTTAAAAGCATAGGCAGCAGACGATGGCTGAGAGCCTTCCTGCTCTGGGTTCCGAGGCAACTTGCAGAATCCTTTCATGCTATTTCTGAATGGTCTGTTACCACTTTGGATGGTAGTTGGTCCTAGGAGCCCAGAGAGTTTCTAATATCAAATGATGCTTATCTGTGAGGGTGCTGGGCTGGGAAGACCTCCCAAGGTCCTTCCAAACACGTGTGTGTGTGTGTGTGTGTGTGTGTGTGTGTGTGTGTGTGTGTGTGTTCGTTCAGTGGGCAGTGAGGTGGATACTGTTCTGAGATTGTGCAGAGGATAACATGATGACATGTGATGTGAATGTGTGACAGAAGGGGCACACACTGTCCCCTTCCTGGCAGGGTTCTCACTCAAGCCCAGAGGTTGCCCTAATATCACCCACAGGTCATTTCTAAGCCAGAACATAGGGGAGATGTTGTGGGCAGATGCAAACCCAGCACGTGCTGCTCGGAACAGGAGGAGAAGTCCTTTGAACCAAGCTTCTATATGTTATTATTTTTCCCACCTGATGCCAAGCTGGTCTCATTCTCTCTTAAGATCTGCAGTTGCATACAGTAAAGCCCATGTTACGTTTCATGCTCGCCTGGCTTCTATAACCTGAACCGCGTGGCTAGAGATTTCCCAGGGGATGCTCAGAGCCCTGCAGTCAGGGGACTCTTCAAGTCAGGCCTGGGTGACCCAGGGCTGGGGGTGGGGAGAGGAGAGGGAGGGTGCTGTGGGGGGCACAGCCTGGCTCACAGTGGGGCAGTGCCCGTTAATGGCAAGAGGTTGTGCCAGCGGCCTGAAAAGAATTTTTTTTTGTCCAGTAGACATCAGTACTCATTACTGCAGCATCTTTGGCAGCTGAAGGGCAATCTTGAAAGTTCAAAAACATAATGTTGGGCAGCACAGCCAGGCATTGAGGGCCAGGGCCTGGCCACACAGCATCCCGCCATGTGACTCTTGCTCTTGAAACTCTTGAGATTAAAAGCAACAGTGCCAGCAGGACAGTTTCTTTCTTTGAGAAAACGGCCCTGAAATGAAAGTCAATCATGAATGCTGGCTGGAAGGCAAGTGACAGAAGGTCAGTCCCAACCACAGGAAGCAGAAGCCAAAGCTTAACACATTCGTGCAAAAGCCTGGCTGTAGGAGAAAGACGCGTGGGATAAAGTGCTGTCTTTGGGACTTGGGTGTCCCTCTGCATCTTCACGCATCTCTTATACCAGCTATGTTCCCAAGAAGAACCAGACTCCTGCAGTTTGCCTCCTGCTGGATATCAGGCTCCCAGGCCTCGTATTGTGTGACCAGCCCTGGCTGTATTGAACATAGAGTGTGTGGAACCTGGTGTGCCCCCAGGAAGACAGTCACAACCCAGAGCTTCACCCCCACTGGTCGGGGGATCTCTCTCAGTGACGTAGGATGCTTTGGCTTGGGTCAGGAAGGAGAGGCATAGGAAGCCTAGAAGAACAGGAGAGGTAAGGTTAGTTTGGGGATGGCCTCATAGGCTCCTCTTAGAAACAGAAAGGCAAGGGCAAAGCTGATCAATTGAAAACCCCAGGAAGGGAGCTGGGGGCCAGAGACATGTGCAGTGAGACTAAGAGTTAAGAAATCTTGTAGGGAACCTACAGTCATGTGCACAATGCTGTGTCCTCAGAGTTCCTAAGCTTTCTCAGCACAGGATAATGAGAAACAACAGCTACCAAGACCAGGAGCCAAAACTCCTGAGCTCCCATCTCCACAGACAACTACAGACTCCTTGTCACTGGAGAGCTCTCCAGCCATCTCCTTCCTAGGACTCTTCTGTAATGTGCAAGGCTGCCCAGGATGGGGAAGGGCACTTGTACTGGACCCATTAACATCTTTAGACTGCAGCTGGGAGATGAGAGAAGTCCCTGGGTGAATTCCAACAGGACTTCCAGTAAGAGAAGGCTACACTAACAAACATTTTCAGCTAACCTGCTGGAGACCCGAGTGCCGAAAGTCCCCATGTCTTAGCCAATGCCTCACCCAGACTCCCTTATGCTGAGTCCTCCTTTCTGC